TCGTTCGCAGCCTGCAAGTACAGTTGTGTTAGCCTCACGGAAACGCATCAATGAGCAAGTGGCTTACGCTGGCATTGTCTCTGGCCCTCTATAACCATTCATGTTAGCATCAATCAGCGGGCAGAAGCCGACCCAATCACAACGTACGTCTGCCTCCTTTTGAGTCGCCTAGCATGTCACGTATTGTTAGCACGCGATCCATTAAATCCCGAGATCCTTTGTGCAGCACATGGAGATACACAACACTTACACCGATCTTGGCCAGCTTGTTCTTTAAACATGGAAGCGAAGTGTCAGAAATGGGTAATTGCCAGAGATGCAGATAGGTATAAGGTCTCTTACCCGGGCCGTGTCAAGAAGGGACTGAAATGGTTAGACAAGAAGTGGTCAGGTTGGAAGGGGGTCTGGGAACTTACGTCGCGCTTGTTTAAAAAAAACTGTGAATGGTCAGCCACTACATTAACGAGGAGTAGGATAGTGGGCAGTCTTACTTGGGCCGAGCCCTCCGCGACCGGCGTGGCCTGTAAGAACGAAGAAAACCGTAACATTAACCCTCATGGTTCAAGGTGGCAAGTCGGTTGCCGCGTTAGACAACCAAAGTACTTACGGTCGTGTCGCCAGGTGCCTTAACCAGGGATCAGCGTGCAAGCCATGACATTAGTAGTTTGGCTGACATGGGTAACACTTACCGGCCGACGCCAGCACAGGGCGGGGTGGTGAACCCCCTTGTGATAAATGGTACACTGCTATGATGTTAGGGTTTCATGAAGGGGAATGAGTTCGACAGCATAACTCGCATTCGGCTTGGCCTTGGCTGCTTTTTATTAGCCGGAGTCACAATCAGGCGGAGACGATGGGGTATCAACTCACCCTTCGCGTCGGATGTAGATGCGTCGGATGTAGATGCGTCATGCGTGTCAGACATTTTGATGGTTAAAGAAAAGTCGTGTTGGTTCGATGTTCCTTTTCGTGGGTTGATGAAGTTGCTTTGCGTTGGTTGTTTGGTGGAAGTTCGTCTGGGTTTGGGGCGGGGAACAGTTTGGACTCATATCGTTATCTATCCATCGCTAGCACTTTCCCAAATGGGGGTGGCTTCCGTTTAGGCATGGTAGACGCGGCACAGTGCCAACCCAATTGTGCTCGAGACGTACTAGGAAATAACATCCTAGAAAATCCTTACCAACCGTGACCTAACGGCATCTATGGTAATGACGCCCTAGGCTTCAGCTCTCCTCACAGCTGCCTTTACAACTGCCCTGCGAGACAAGATTAATGGCCTCACAGGCTTTTGTAATGCTTTTGCGTTTGTCCGGTTGCTCGAGGCAAGAGTACACTGAATAAGGTAGGAATGATAAGGATATTATAGGTGAGGTTCTTGGCAAGCCCGAAGGGCGATTGACCTGACTGACGTGCCTAAGGCGTGAAAGTTGATTGGGAAAGAAAGCTGCTTTGCTCCTGAAGGCGTGAAAGTTGATTGGGAAAGAAAGCTGCTTTGCTCCTGCTTGCTTCATCAGCTCATCAAGCCCAGAGCGATGCTGTGGTTGGAGGACAACTGATCGTGAATGCCTGTTATCGATATGCATGGGCGAGCTGCAGCTCCATAATGCACCATTCAGGAATAGCTCCTGAGCTCTTGCTGCAAGACAAGTGCTTCTGTAAACCTGGACCCACCTGGCCCTATGGTTACACAGGGTGGGCCACTTCCCCACAAGGGATCCAGGTTTATTTTCCTACCTGCACACAGCCGCCCTAGATAGCTTTGCCCGGGATCCTTCCAGGGACATCAATCCATCACGGCATATCGCTCTCCAGTGCCATAGCTTCACAATATGGGAAGTCACGACCGCCAGCAGTGAGTGCTGTATTCTCTGCATTTCTGGCAGCGATCCGGCCAAAAATAAATCTTCCTTCGTCAACCCAAACACCAGACAAGTATGTGAAGCAGCCCCCTTGCTTGCACGAGCATCATGGAATCTCCTACTAACATGTCGCCGCCAATTAGACCCTAGCAGATTCGAACCTGTACGTCAACTTCCGCAGGGATGCATCAGCGATTGATGGCTAACATTGTCCCCACTGGGGATTGGAGGACAGCGAACCAACAGCAGTAAGTTTGACGTTTATAACTGCCTCGCCCTGACCTTGTTCCTTGCTAACTGGTTGAAGTGGCACCCACCAAGGGTAGGTCTTAGGAAGAACTCGATTCGCTTTTCCTCGGTTTCCTCGCTAATATGCTTCGAAATTTTGCCAGACGAGAAGACGGCCACGCCCTGTACCCCTCTAGCTTCGGGCAGTACGTATCCTGCCAACTCCTGCCACGACGATAAAAAGTCCTCTCTAACAGCTCGACTCCTTTCTAGAAAAAGCCAAAGCCAACAGTATGCCGTTTTGCTCTGGGTCTTGGCGCCCGGGGCGTGACTTGTTACTAACATTGCAGTAGAGGGCAACAAAGTTGCATCTACATCCGACGCAATCAGGCGAAGGCCTATTGCGCTCGACGCCTGTTTTTGGCTAGCAGCCATCACAGGAAGCCTTCGGGTCACGGGTGCGATTGCGGACATCAGATCAGATGACCCAGATAATAGAACCGATGCAGTAAATGGGTTAATTATCATTTCTCTAGGTATGTGCTAGCAGCCATCACAGGAAGCCTTCGGGTCACGAGTGCGATTGCAGATATCAGATGCAGTAAATAAGCTAATTACCATTTCTTTAGGTATCACGATCTAGGGAATCGTGATAAACTATTATCGAATGATCAAGCTAGAGCTGCCACCGCCCGGCGATGTCGAAGGCCAGGCGCCCGTCCGACAAGTCCTAATACTCGAACGCTTGGCCAGCAAATTCGTCGACTGGTGTGCCATTTGGCTGCCGGTTGTTGCAGGTCTGCTCCTGATCGTCTCAGCTCTGGTCTACATGTTTGGTCTCGCTTTGCATAACCATCATTCTCTGGCCTGGGCAATTACTGCGACTGTCGTCATCGGCGTACTGGTCATCGCCACCCTTTCAATTTTTCCAACTGCCTTGTTACACTTCCAGGTTAGGGGAAACAAGTCACAACTGGATGATCCACAGGGGCCTCCGGTCCTGCCGGAAGGATTTGTGCCGGGCAACCCTCCGACTGTGGGTCCAGCCGATCAGTCGAAGGCGCCAGCCAATAACCAGCAACTGGTGGGAGATGATGACCACCCCCCGCAGGATGGCATAAGGCTGCAAGACTACCCTCAGACCCTCTCGCGGCCTCGAAACAAGCAAGTCGTACAAGCCTAGCTAGGCGAGCAAGATGCGTGAGACAAGCTCGACGAGAGAGCTAGCTTAGCAAGCGAGTTTGGCTACTTGTCTACCATCCTATGACGTCAGTCGTAAGGCAGGCAGTTCTTTGTAGCTGACCTAGCCGTTATCCGTTCCATTATAAACTAAGACTACGTCCGTCCCGAAATGGGCCACCCAAAACGGGTGCGAGACAATCTGTTTTCCCAAAATCATTATTTCGAAGCTTTTCCCTCAATGAGGTTTTCATGGAAGATAGATAGCAGTAATTAATCTGTGTTCGTCCACTCTGTCCTGTGTCTCCTTCCTCCATGTGACTTGTTTCCGTGAATCCCGTACAAGCATTACTTGGATCTGTCAAAGGGTCAGTGTTGGCCTGTTCTGTAAGCGTGCTCTGGAGGTGCGAGTCAGCCACCGCCGTAACCGAACCACCTAACCTATTTTACACGTACGCTTTGCATCCAATTGTAAAGTGCTAGATAGGCACGTTAACGCGCATAGCAATAATTTAATTCTTGAGACATTTTCAAGCAGCGATAATATCTGTTCAAATAAGATACAATAGGTAGGTAGGTAGGTACGTACCTTGACGTACCAAGATGGACCTTGATGAAAATAGAACGAGTGACAGGCCATGTTCGATCTTGCTCCTTCCCGGACAACTTGGAGGCATTGGAAGTAAATCGGACGTGCCTTCCTAAGCAACTGCAACCAGCCAGACATTATGGATGGTGCCCGAGACCATGGAAGGCGCCACGATGGAGTGAACCGAACCTTCTACGTTCTGTTACGAAGTAGAAAAACGAAGTAGGAAGGCGCGTTCTGAGATGGCACAATGTTTCCGTGTCCGCTCTCGGGCGCAGGAATCTCGAGAAAAAGAAGAAGGACGTTGTTGTTGTTGCGATTGTCGAGCTGCTGGACCAGACGTCAGAGGAAGTGTACCAGTACCAGGCTCCTTGTTTTGTTTTGTTTTGTTTTGTTTGCAATGGCTTTGATTGATATTTCTGTTTACCAAGGCCTTGTTGCCAAGGGGCGCGCCCTGTATACGCAGCTCGTCAAGGCCATCGAGCACCATGGCGACGAGAACAAAGCCTTGCCCAGCCCGGAGCCCCTTTATTATACCAACGCCGATGCACCAGCCCTCCCTTGCGTCGACTCTGGAAGGTTTGGAGACGATCTGGCGGTTGCGAATCGCCAACAAGGTGAGTGTCTATGTGTTTGTCCAAATTCTTCTTGCTCTCTACCTACAGCATCGATCAGTGGCATACCTAGGTGGTCAGGTTATTCAGAAACTAATGATGAACACCCTAGATGACGAACGATCTAATCGCTACTGTTTGTGAGGGACGGACGGACTTGGACTCGGTCGATATCGTGGCTGGCGACGACAACTTCTTCGCCTTTCTCGCCTCTTACATTCCGTGTGTCCAATGGTGCATATTGCCGACAACGAGACAGAGGCCCCGACTGTTGCTCCCTCCTTGCCATCTGAGGTACATAGACACCAGACCACGACAATAATGGACAGCCACAGTCAGAGAGTCTGTTTAGGCCTACCAATATTGTACCTCCCTTAGTAGTTTTTGGATAAAGTAAAAAGGGTAACAAAGAGTCGTGTGGCTGCCGCTTGCTTGGCTGGCTGCGCAAGCGCATTTGACAAGTTGAGTGTTAATGGCAAAAGTGTCATTTTATAAGTTGAGTAAAATGAAAACCTAAATAGTAAAAGTGTGTGCTCGAACCAGGGATCGAACCTGGAACCTTCTGTGTGTGAGACAGACGTGATAACCATTACACCATTCGAGCTGCGACAACCAGTGAATTGATTGGGAATCATGGCGGGCTATTTCGGTTAACAATGCCGCCTTGGCGGACAGGTAAACTCGATATTGGCGCCAGTCTCCATGACAGGATAGGACATGATTCTAAAAGACTCTACATATCAGCACGCTTTTCAATGTATATGGATAAGGTCAAAGTTTGATTATTACGAGTTGTAACTCAATTTTGAAACTTTGCAAATTCTTTCTATTGCCGACCCACATGCAAGGCTGTTGATACCCTCCAAGTACAGTATGAAGTCAAGCCAATACAAAGCTACGGTACTCTCATGGTGCCAGATAGAACAAGCAAGGGCTTGACGTTCTCTCAAGTGATCTATCTATCTATATTAGAGTAAATATAGATCCACATGAATGTTCTTTATACGGCATACCACCACGGTATGCAAAGCGAACTATATACACGAATGTCCTCCCTTTCAAAGACACCATAGAAATTCCTGCTATAGTGACCTTGGACCTTCCGCAACTCCAGTTCATAGAGCAAGAGCAGAATGCTTACAGGCACTGCGAGTAATACGCATTGGAGACCTTACAGGTGGAGCCAGAAGCGCAGCAAGTCGCACCTGTCCAGCCAGTACCACCGCACTGTCCCCACTTGGCAACACACTACATGAAAAAGTCAGTCATATCGCCCCAGGCAAGAGTCTGTAGGGTGAGATAGATGAGTAACTTACGGCAGTGGAAGGAGTCGAGGGAGTGGAGGGAGCCGTCGAAGAAGTAGTGGGGTTGGACGGGGTCGTTCCCGTGTCACCACCGGACGCCGCACCGCCGACAGTGATGGAGGAGGAGCCGCTGGAGAAGTAGCCCTCGGTGGCAACGATCTGGTAGTCGTGGGTGCCCAGGGTGAGGCCTTGGGCAGTCCACGCGGCGAAGTGGTTGGCCATGGAGACGGTGCCGCCGACACGCTTGGTATCGCGGACGGACCAGTACTGGTAGAAGGTGGCGGTGCCCTCGATCGATGGCTGGTTGACACGCTGGGTCCTGTAGATTTTGTAGGTGCCGCCGTCGGACGTGGCGCTGCCCAGGAGGGTCGCCCCCGTCGACGGGTTGTAGGTCCCGTACGACTCGACCACGTAGTACTCGATCAGGGGGTTCTTTGTCCAGCCATAGACGGACAGGTACGAGTTGCCGTTGGGGCTGTAGGTGCCAGTGTAGTTGATGGCGCTGTTGGAGAAATGCCGAGTCAGTTACGAGGTGATTATAGATACATATCTCCTAGTCTAGGGAGAGAGTCCTTTACCGGTTGGTGCCGGGGTTCCAACCCTTACCGCCGACCCAGTTTCCGTTTCCAGACCAACTGGAGCTGTACTGGCCGGCGGCGCCGTTGGTGTAGCTGATGCTGCCAGCGCCGTCGGTCCAGAACGAATAGTAAAAGCCGTTGTTGGTGCCAGTAGCGCTCTTGGTCAACGTCTGGCGCTTCTCCATGCCAGGCATCTCGCCAGGAGCAGCGAAAGCCCCGACGGCGGCCGAAATGGCCAACAAGATGGATGAGATGGCAACCATTGTGGTGGATCTTGGTCAATGTGCTGGGTGGTGAGGTGAGGTGCGGATCAGGACTGTCAGTCTGGGGGACGTGCTGGTGTATTATATACCCCTTTCCTTGATTTCTGAAGCGCCATCAATCATTACCTGGATACTCACATCCCCACTTGATTTTCCCTGTCTATACCTACGCTTGATTAAGCTCGATGCAGCAGATCTTGCCTCATTATGCAAACATTCTATCCGACACGATGTAACCTCCCTCACCCGAACATCACGCTGTTGTGCTTGGGCCGCAAAGATCGAGAAGTGCCAAGGGTTCGATGTTCTGTATCGACAACACCCTTACATGCTGCATAGGCAGGCTTGAGCTACCTACGGATTTGAGACCATGGAGTACTAGGTCCAGACGTGAGACCAAGAAACCAGTCACTGTTGTGTCGTGCTTCATTCCCACAACCTGGTATTTCAGATCCACTTGTTTGTGAAATTGCAAAGTCCTGTTTGCACTACTGGGTCAGTTTCACACCAAGGTCGAAGTGGTATCCACGTCACCATCTCCACATCACGGCCCGGTCTGCTGTTTCTCTTAGGGGGGCATCGTAACGGTGGAAAGAAAGCATCAGCAGAGCAACGTTCATTAACGCCCCGCGTCTCCCAGGAGCAGAATCAATTAGCCCATGTGCCAGAAACCCGGTTACACATCCGCAGCAACGCCGTCCCGCACATAGAAGGATCAGCCTTGCATAAACAAACGTGTGGGTTAGCAGCAGCCCCAGGAGCCGCTACGCAGTAGTGCCGGTAGAATTTGCGGGGAGCCGCTGCCAGGGGGTTTGAACCGGCGGCTAAATGCAATCTGATGATACCCCAGACAGCGAGGCGATTCCCGATTCGGGGATTCGTTGTCGGAATGCCTCCGTAATTCGAACACCAAGTCTTGCTTGTGACGACGTGCCACCTACTCCATGAGGCAACCCCGGCTCACAATGCCCGAGATCCCCAGATTCTAAGACAACGCTTGTCGAAAAAAAAAAAGGAGGAAGTTGGCCACAAGCCCACAACCACAACATCACAAAGTGGCTTTGTTCGCGTCCAAACAAATGTGCCAAAAATAGGCAAATATCGAAAATCCACAATGGAAACCACACAAGAACCGGGCCACCGGAAATCTTAATGGATACTGTAGCAGGGGTAGTGATTGCGCTCCAATGGGGCAAGCCTCCTTGTCCCTCGACAATTCCACCGGCTAAAAGGGATCGAGGGACGGGATTTTGAGGCTATCTTCAGAGGGTGGAGGAAGTCCATAATAATAGGTATTCGCCAAGCGATGTTGTGGGTGATCAAGGGATCAGATATGTAACATTTCCCGGTTGTCAGCTAGCCATCAGCCATCGACCAACTTCAGGTCAGGTGTTGTTCCACTCTAGGGCGGTGTATTAAGGGTCAGGAAACCAACCGTCATTCAAGTATGCAACTGAATACACCGTTGGAGTTTCTCCTTTGTATTTAGAAAGATCAAACGTTATATACTTCAATTATATGCCACGCCCTAAATCGTGGTGTAGTTCATTCTGTTTATTTCATGGCGTCATGGTAGTTGTATGTGGGAGTATCCAAGTAGGTAGGTAGACGGGGGCTGCTAAATACAGGGCTTGATCTATAACTCATAGATGGGAGGGAAACAAAGGGGTGCAAATAAGGAAAGGAACAAGTAGTCTATGCAGAAACCCAACAGTCTACCTCCGACACGAGAGATTTAAAAAGGGAAGCAGCACAAAAGCCCTGTTTATCAGAGCCGGGGTTTGGACGGTGACGACTTCAAGGCGGCGACGACGTCGTCAAACCTGTTGTATGCATCTTTCTCGGCGTCAAAGTTGAGCAGCCACGGTTCCCTCACCAGGTGGATCATCTCGGGGTTGTTCCAGACCTTGGTCCAGTCCGCCTTGTGCCACCTCTCTCTCGTCTTGGGCCCCATGGCCTGGGCGCGGTGGACCCTCTCGTATCTGATCTTCTCGTAGGCCTGCAGGGCTTGGGGGATGTTGGCCTTGCCGCTCAGCTCCAGACAGGTGGCCAGCACGACGCCGTCTTCGATCGACTGGCTGGCCCCCTGGATCGACGTGGGCAGGAACGGGTGGGCCGAGTCGCCGATGAGGGCGATGCGGGCCTTGGGGGAGATAAATGTCGGGAGGGGGTCGCGGTAGACGAGCTTGTGGTCGATCAGCCTGCCGTCGGGGGTGGACTTGACGAGCTCGCGGACGACGGGACACCAGCCCTCGAGATACTTGAGAGCCTCCTCGGGCTTTCCGGGAAACTGCCAGCTCTCCTCGATATTGCCGTCGTCGATGTGGGTAAAGACCCAGTTGATCTCGGAGCCGTTCTTGATGGAGGAGGCGAGGAAGTGGATGTCGGGGCCGATGAAGCCCTGGTGGGTGTCGCCGTGGATGACCAGGTGGCTGATGATGGGGTTCTTGGCGACCTGGTCAGAGGGGAACCAGGCGCGGTAGACGGCGTAGCCCGACGACTTTGGGTTCTCGTCGAAGCCGAGCACGATCTTCCTCCCACGAGAACGCACACCCTCGGCGGCGATGACAAGGTCGGCCACGATGCGCTCGCCGTTGACGACGACGCCGGCCTGCGGGGGGTCGTCGGTCTCGAAGTAGTCCTCGACGCGCTTGCTCAGACGGATGTCGATGCCCCTGGCCTTGGCGTGCTGGTAGATGATGTTGTGCAGCTGGCCGCGGTGGCCGTTGATGCGGCGGCCCCAGGCGTTCTCGTGGGCAAAGGACTGGCGGGTGACGAACTTGCCCTCGTGATGGTACAGGTCCAGCCACTTGGTCTGGCGGGCGATGGCCTCCATGGCCTCGATGACGCCGGGCCAGCGCTCAAAGGCCTTGGAGCCGTTGGGGTCGAAGCTGATGATGTCGCCGATGCGCGTGATCTCGGCAATGTCGTCCACCTTCTCCAGCAACGTCACCGAGTGTCCCTTGCGGTCGCATTCGATGGCTGCCGCAAGACCGGCGAAGCCTGCGCCCACCACGATCACCTTGATGCCCGTGGGCGGATGCCGCGGTATGCTTGCCATTGACTGACCGACTGTCTGTCTCCTTGTCCTTGGGTGGCGGCTGAGAAATCGAGCTCGAATTCGATGTGAGGAGTCAGTAAGTCAGTCAGTCGACACAGAGCCAGAGCCAGAGCCAGAGCCAGGTAATAAAGTCCAAGTCTGGTGTCTGGTGACTTGAAAGACCAGACTTGAAAGACCAGACTTGAAAGACCAGACTTGAAAGACTGGACTGGAGGATGACGGCTCCAGGGTCCAGTCCACGGTCCTTCTTCTGAGTCCGAAGCCAATTCCGAGGAACGGAAATCGAGAAAGTGCAAGCATCGCTGTCAGAGTTGCCAATGAGAGAAACAGGCTGAACTGCCGACCCCGCTCTCATGCCGCCATCATCGCCCGTCTTGTGGCCTGGTTGCGGGTGTGCC